GGCCTCAGCACCCTGGGATTGGGTTTAAAAGGTTGAAGTCTGATGCCATAATTTTCTGGGTTTGAAATTAGAATGGGAAGGGTGTCCACAAGACTATTGCCTAATAGGAGCAGTGTCAAATCACTCACAGTCTCCTGATGGACAACATCTCTCTCTACCCTATGTTCATGACACCCACTATGTTGACAAGGGACAGTGTGGTCTACATGTGAGTCCCAGAGCACATGTATTATCTATACGGACATCTGCCCTTATTGTTGTGGGAAAATACAGTATCAGTAGGAATACAAGGAGAGAGTGACTTTGATGGGACCAATGCCTGGTATCTTTTCTGATGTCTGGAGTTGAGGGAGCAGATATATGTGAATGTGGGGAACATGATGAACATAAAATCCTTGGAGTTCAGCTGATCATGGACTGTAATGTCCCCATTATGACAGGATATGAACTTTGAGGACGTGGCCATTGCCTTCTCTCAGGAGGAGTGGGGGCGTCTTGATGAGGCTCAGAGACTTCTGTACTGTGATGTGATGCTGGAAGTGTTTGCACTGGTATCAACTGTAAGTAAGCTTTTCACATTTCTCCTAGTGTCCTGAAGTGATGTCCTCTCTTCCTTTGTTTTCCAAATGTTGCTTTCTCTCTCCCACTGCCAGACCATGGACTAGTTTTCCCAACTGTCCTGTAAATGTGCTGTGGCTTCCAGTGCTGACTTGTGGTGTGTGTAGATCCCTGAGCAAAGGACTCCATGAATAACCCTCAAACCCATTGCCTCAAATAGTGCAGGAAGTGTCTGGGAATCCAGATTGTTGCAGAAAGCTTAATGGGTCCCACCTTGAACGTCCTTTTCCTGTGAGGGGGACTATGTTCACATGCATGGCTTCCACTTCTGACCCCTTCCTCAGCTAAAGGCTGTTTGTGACTATGCCAGGTTATGGTCTTTACCTATATGAACCACGTGCGGTTCTTGTAAGACATTCCTTCCATTGTTTGTAATACTCTGTTACCTGGATACTATTACATGCTGTGTTGATCAGAGCCGGTGCTGGCTGCTCACCTCTGTTGTCTTTCAGTAAAAGTCAGAATATTTGTTTTATGTGCTTGTACAGTAGAAGGTGCAAAGAGAACCCTAGTTGTTGTTTTTTCCACAGGGTGAACTTACAGGATGATCTAAGACAGTGGTTCTCAACCTTCTGGCCCTTTAAATACAGTTCCTCATGTTGTGACACAACTATAAAATTATTTTTGTTGCTACTTCATAAGTGTAATGTTGCTACTGTTATGAATCGTAATGTCAATATCTGATATGCAGGATGGTCTTAGGTGACCCCTGGGAAAGGGTCATTCGACCCACAGGTTGAGAACCAATGATCTAAGAGGTAGTCGAGCCAGGTTGAAGTGCACCTGGGAGAGCTTTGTCCTAAGGGCTGTGTGTAGAGAATACTAGGAACCTGCTCATGTCCAACAGAGTTTAGGTTCAAGTGCCACTGGCAACAGCTCATTTCTACCTTTTCATTCCCATGCTTGACACTTTGCTGACTTCTCTTTTCATCTGTGACTTCCTGGATTTTAGCAACCTTTACCTCTGTGGCCTTTTTGCATCCCCTGTGTACTAACTGCAGTATTCTCTAATATTCACGTGCACATGTGTTATGAGATGCACACACGTGCTTACGTAGTCCTCAACACAACTTCCTCATTTCTTGTATTTTACTTGGAATAAGATGTAAGCAACCATCTGCACAGCTTGCCCGTGTCACCAGCAGACGAGCCCAGCTGAACACTGTTAGCAGAAGAATGAGCAGACGATCCACCTGCTATTCCATGTGGTGCTTGCCATGTTTGTTTATATTTTGTTTGGGATCTTCCCCGTTTCATGTCTTCAGTAGCACAGAACTTCACAGCAGCATCTTTTATATTATTCCTACAGATATGTTACTGTCAGACAATTGCATGGAACCAACGTGTTAAGTGCAACACACTTTTGTAAAGGCACTTCTCCCTGTCACCACAGTCAACATTCATTTTGGCACTATTTTTCTGTTTTCAGGTTGTTGGCATAAAACAGATGATGTGGAGGCCTGTTCAGAGCAGAATGTATCCATAGAAGGAGAGTCACAGGTCAGGGCTTCTAAGACAGCCTCAGCAACCCAGAAGAGCCATCTCTGTGGGAGGTGTTTCTCTGTGTTAAAAGATATTCTGACCTGCCTGAGTCACAAGCAGCAGACTTTGAGCAGAAAGCCTTTATCAGTGATGCATGTGTGAGAGGCTTGTGTTTCAGTGCAAACCCTCACCAGCAACAGAGGGAAGCCAGTGGAGAGAAGCCCTGGAAAGGAGCTGTGGACAGGGCTTCATTTGTGACCAGGTTCAGAAAGCCTTCTTCAGTGATGCTTGTGTGAGAGACTTCTGTTTCAGTGCAAACCCTCACCAGCAACAGAGGGAATCCAGTGGAGAGAAGCCCTGGAAAGAAGCTGTGGACAAGGCCTCATTTGTGACCAGGTTCAGCTTCTACTTACCAGGGCTGCCTTCAACCAGTAGGGAGGTTGGGGAAGACTTCCCAGCCATCTCAGAGCTTCTCCTGAACCAGGCCACTCTCTACACTGAGGAGCCACACAGTGGCAGTGAGATTTCACAGGAATTACTCAATAGAAACAGGCATCACCAATGGAATAAATGTGAAAAAGCTGCCAGCCACAACCAGAACATTGTTGGTGCAGAGGGCCATCGGGGCTGGGACTTGAGTGACGGGTACGTGGAGAGATGTTGGCTGTGACTGCTGCAGGGACATCAAGTGCAGCACCAGGCGAGGTGGGCTCTGGGAATCTGAGATCTGATTGTGTTTCTCAATAATTGAGGTTGAAGGAAAATAGAGTCATGAAGAGAGGACTTCGTAGAAGGTCTCAAGGCTGCCTCTATGAGTGTGAACTCTCAGCATCTGGGCAGGACTTGATCCTGTTTGAATTTGGCAAGAATTCTCTGGACCACACCTGCTGAGTAATGAGTAAGAGGCCAAGGAGATGCCTATGGGGTTGGAGCTGTAGGAGTGCAAGTGTGAACAAGGTGTGGTAGAAAGAATCATGTGCCCTTGCTGAGGGAGTGTGAGTTGTGAATTCATGGCCACAGGGCCCTGGCATTGACCTTAGAATGAATGAAGGGTGAACCCATGTCTGCTGGCGTCTTGGTGATATAATACGGGTAATACAGGTAATTGCCTGAAAAGAGGGGTGTTGTGTTGCTACATGCCAGGTTCAGAGCTTAGATGCCATTTACCTACCCAGCTGCCTTTTGTTGTTGAGGGCTGACACACTGATCCATAGGAATGAGAAGCATACCAATACAGCCATGTTACCTGGGCTTGAAACTCTCCACTGGTGTGGGTAAAGCAGAAGGATGAGAGAGAAATAGGTTATGGAGATGGTGAATAATTTTGGAAATGAAGGTGATTAGGAAACCACTCATGCTCATCAAGGCAAATCTGTGTTACTTTCGAATTTGTATGCCTGGGAAGGAAGCTGTGTGAGAGAAGTGTTTTCAAAGAACTCTGTGCAGCAGGTAGTGAGAACTGATGGCCTCAGCACCCTGAAATGAGGGTGTAAGGGGGAAGTGTGATGCCATGTATTTGGTGTCTTTGAACAACAATCTGGGGGATTACAAGGAGATTGCCTGACAAGTGCAGCATCAAATCACTCACATCTCTCCCTGTCCTATGTTCTTGACCACTTTATTATTGACAAGGGGCAGTGTGGCCTACATGTGAGGCCCAGAGCTCAGGTATCTTCTCTCTGCTCAACTGCCTTTATTGCTGTGGGAAGACACAGCATCAGTAGGAATATAAGGAGAGAGTGACTAGCATGGGACTAAGGCCTGCTGTCTCCTCTGATGTGTGGAGTTGAGGGAGCAAATAGTTGTGTGTGAGGGGGGAGCATGATGACTATAAAAGCCTAGGAGAGAAACTGATCATGGACTGAACTGTTCCCATCATGACAGGATATGGACTTTGAGGACGTGGCCATTACCTTCTCTGAGGAGCAGTGGGGGCTCCTTGATGAGGCTCAGAGACTTCTGTGCTGAGATGTGATGCTGGAAGTGTTTGCACTTGTCTCATTTGTAGGTAAGACCTTCAAATCATTCTTGGTGTGCTGAGGTGATGTCCTCTCTTCCTTTATTCTCCAAATGTAGCTTTCTCTCTCTCATAGCCAAACAATGGCTCTGCTAATTTCCCCCACTGTCATGTAAAATGGGCATGGCTGCCAGGGGTGAGCTCTGGGGAGACCCCTGAACAAAGGTCTCTAGGAACATCGCTAACACCCACTGCCTTTTACTTGGAATAGGACCTAATCTACCTCCTGCACTGCTTGCCCCTGTCACCATCAAACAAGCCCTGCTGAGCGCTGTTAGCAGAAGACTGAGCTGGAGATCTGGCTTCTCTTCCATGAGGTGCTTGCCATGTGTTGTGTCATATTTCTGGTGAGGCCTTTCATGTTTTGTGATGTTCAGTGGATGAGACCTTCACAGAAGCCTCTTATTAATCCTTCCAGCACCTCTCTTATTTTCAGATTGTTGCCGGAACCCATATATTATGTGCAAAACACTAGCAATCGGATTTCCCCTGTCACCACAGTCAACACTCAGTTCCTCAGCATTTCTGTCTTTGTAGGTTGTTTACATGAAACAGATGAGGAGGCCTGTTCTGAGCAGAGTTTATCTGTACAAGGAGAGTCACAGCTCAGGGCTTCTAAGACAGAGCCAGCAACCCGGAGGACCCATCTTTGTAAGCAGTGTTTCTCAGTGTTCAAAGCTATTCTGTACCTGACTCAGTCACAAGCAGCAGACTTTGAGCAGAAAGCATTCTTCAGTGAGGCATGTGTGAGAGACTTCTGTTTCAGTGAAAACCCTCACCAGCAGCAGAGGGAAGCCAGTGGAGAGAAGCCCTGGAGAGAAGCTGTGGATAGGGCCTCGTTTGTGACCACGTGCAGCTTCCGATCTTGGGTGCCTTAAACCAATAGAAAGGTTGGGAAAGTCTCCCCAGGCATCTCAGGGCTTCTCCAGCACCAGGTAACTCTCAACATTGGGGAGCCATACAGTGCAAGTGAGATTTCACTGGAATTTGTCTGTGGAAAAAGTCATCACAATTGGGGTGGACATGAAAACGCTGCCAGCAACAGCGGGAAAGTCATTCGACCTCAGAGTGTCTGCTTTGAAGAAGTGAATGATGAGGGTAACACATTTGGGAAAGTTTCTACACGTATATTTAACCTCAATCGGCAAAAGAGAGTTCATACTAGAAAAAAGCTCTATGAGTGTACTGATTGTGGGAAGTTCTTTAGAGAAAGCTCTTCCCTCATTCAACACAGGAGAGTTCACACTGGAGAAAAGCCCTATGAGTGCACTGATTGTGGGAAGCTCTTCAGGCAATGCTCTACCCTAACTCAACACAAGAGAGTTCACACTGGTGAAAAGCCCTATGTGTGTGGTGATTATGGGAAGTCATTCAGGCATAAGTGTGGCCTCAACAGTCACCGGAGAACTCACACTGGTGAAAAGCCCTATGTGTGTGGTGATTGTGGGAGGTCATTCAGTCAAAAGTGTAGCCTCAACAGTCACCAGAGAGTGCACACTGGTGCAAAGGTTTATGAGTGTAGTGAATGTGGGAAATCATGTGGGTCTAGTCACCATCTCCTTAACCATAAGAGAATTCACACTGGAGAAAAGCCATATCAGTGTAGTGATTGTGGGAAGTCATTCAGTCAAAAGGATGGCCTCAACACTCACCAGAGAGTACACACTGGTGAAAAGCCCTATGTGTGTGGTGATTGTGGGAGGTCATTCAGTCAAAAGTGTAGCCTCAACAGTCACCAGAGAGTGCACACTGGTGCAAAGGTTTATGAGTGTAGTGAATGTGGGAAATCATGTGGGTCTAGTCACCATCTCCTTAACCATAAGAGAATTCACACTGGAGAAAAGCCATATCAGTGTAGTGATTGTGGGAAGTCATTCAGTCAAAATTGTAACCTCAAGAGTCACCAGAGAACTCAAACTGGGAAAGGGGCGGTGGGCCGCAATGCCACTGTGTGAGGACATGGTGATGTGGCTGAGCCTGGAGGGTTCAGCAAACCCAGGCATGTTTTGTGTCTAAAGGCGACAGCAAGAGGCAAGGTTGTGCGTGAGGAGTTTTACTTTCATTCTCAGGAAGCCGGGGTCATTGTTTGTCATGATCAGCAGATGGACATTGTGTGAGGCAGGGTTCTGACATTTTCCCAAAACTGTCCAGAGGAAGAACAGACTAGAAGGGAGAAGCCAGCAGGAAGGGTTGGAAGGAGGACCCTGTAGGTGATGAGGTCACTGGCAGGTGCGCACTGGACTGAGCCCTGAATGATGCGGGCATCACCCGGCCCCGGGGCTGGGCCAGTGCTCTGAGCAGCCTGAGCCCTTGGGTCCTGGTGGTGGGTGCCAGGCCAGGCCTTCAACAGCCCTTTAGTTCCTGCAGGTGCAGAGCCACTGAGGGGGCTGGGCTGTGGGGCTGATGTCAGGGCCTCACACTCTTGTGCCCTCTGAGGTCGTGGGGTCCTGGGGCTGTGCAGCCCCTCTTCCTGCCCTGGGACCTAGGACCTTGAAGACACACTCAGCCCTGAATCCTGAGTCCTATGGGTGTGTACACTGAGGCCGCCAGCTCCCCTTCTGCAGGTGCCAGACCAGGAGCAGGTGGGCGGCCAACAGGGACGGAAGGAGGAGGACCGGGGGCACAGGTGCCCTGCGTTGGGGAGCCAGGTGTCGCCACCCCACGAGACGCGGCAGCCTCCCAGTCCGAAGGGCAGGGCATGTAGAGGGCAAGCAGAAGGGACCTGCGGCCCTGGAGGCACCCCGCCTCCCCAGGAGAAGCGCCTGAGCTGCAGGAGGAGGAAGGACAGGCCCTGGGAGAAGGCCCCGGACTTGGCGTCCTCGGCCTATGGGGAGCCTCAGCCACTTGGGGCCCGGGCTGCCCTGCAGACCCAGGAAAGGGCCGCATCCCCAGGCCCCGCCTCAGCGGCAGCCAGGAGAACACCCGGCTCCGACCCCACGGTGGGTCTGGACACCTGCTGGCCCTTCCGTCCCATGAAAAAATCTTTGCGTTGATTTGAGAGAGAAGCAGGGGGAGGAGAGATGAAACCACCGGTGATGGGAGCGGATTCCTGGTTGGCGGCCGCCGCCCGCTGGACACTGTGCCTGCGCTCCGTGCACGGGCCTGACCAGCGATGGAACCTGCTCTCCTGGTTCATCAGTCAGCGTCAACCACTGAGCAGCGCCTGCTGAGCTCTATTGTATATTTTTAATAAAATGTAATGTGTATTTTTTATTTTCGATGGTGTTGAGATGTGTCCCATTCCCCTGTGCATATGTTCTTTGGGGACCTCTCCCAGTTCCCCCTCCCCGGGGGGGCCTGTCAGTCTGTCCCCGTGAACCCGGCCTCTGGTCCCATCTCCTCCCCCAGCGCCACTGGCAGCGCCAGGTCACCTTCACCAAGGTCAAGGCCAGGGCTGCGGGAGAAAACTACATCACCCAGAAAGCACTGCGCCCGCTTCCACAGGGGTAGGCGAGTTTAGGTACCTGCACTTTCAGTTAGGGCGGGACTTCCGGTACCGTCTTGTGTGAGAACGTTAAGGCTTCCGGTAACCAACCTGCAGGGTTCAGCGCGCGCTTGAGCGTTGGTGGCGAGTAGAAGGAGGCGTGGGAGGCAGCGCCCCGCTGCGCAGGGTAGGCCTGAGGCTGGTTGAGCCCCAACACCCGGGACGGGGGTCCCCGAGGCTCCCCGACTCCTCTCCGCCGACAGAGTCCACTCAGCGTCACCCCATTGGACCCTCCAGCCTCGGTGCGGGCACCGCTCGGGTCCCGCAGCCCAGGGCGCAGCGTCCAGCACAGTGAGTCCTCGTGGGGACTCGGGTTACGAGGGGGAGGGAGGGCGACTGGCTGCGGTGCCACAGGGGACTGAGCCGGGAGGTGGGGCACCCAGGCCTGGTTTGTGTCTAAAGGCGACAGAGAGGACGAGAGGCGGTTCCCGGGAGGAGTTTTACTTTCATGCTCAGGTCGACGGGGCTGTGGGTGGTTGTGAGCAGCAGAGGCATGAGGCCTGAGTTGCGGGTCTAAACGTTCCCCAAACGCCCAGAGGAGGAGCCGCCTCCAGGAGAGAGGGCGGCAGTGAGGGCGGGAGAAGGGGCTGTGAACACAGCGACCCAGCAGGAGGCGCCCTGAGGACCAGCCCTGAGGGAGGGGCATCTCCGCGTCGCTGGACCTCGGGCCCGAGCCCCTGGGTCCTGGCGGTGGGTGCCAGGCCCTCAGCAGCCCTTTAGATCCCACAGGTTCCTGCAGGTGAGAGCCGCTGAGCGGGCTGGGCTGTGGGGCTATGTCAGGGCCTCACACTATCGTGGCCTCTGAGACAGTGGGGTCCTGGGACTGTCCAGCCCCTCTTCTC